AAAGATTAAATCAGTGATACGACGTTGACATGTGTTCAGTTCCTGAAAGGTCTTTTTAAAAAAGCCTCCTCAGGAGCAGTTTTGCTACCACCTGAGAGTGTTTCAAAAATTTGCATTTAGGGAGTTGGAAGAAGGGAAGGCATGTGAAGGCGCCTTGGGGATGGGCCAAAAACTTCTACTGTTGATAAAGAAAGGCCAGATCCTCTCCGCGGGCCAGCCAGCAGACTGGACTGCCTGCTAACTTGAGAATGCACCCCCTCCCCGCCTCCCACCCCAGACACATCCTGTTGGGGCAGGCCTCGGAGCCGAGCTGCTCACAAGCCTGTGCACTGCTGTGTAATGCTGCAGGCGCCTTCCCAGCCCCTGCAACCAGACAGGGGCCCAGAGGTCCTGCTGGCAGTAGGACCCTACCAGTTGTGGTCTCTGGGTTGTGACAGCTGGGAGTTTCTAATATATCTCATCTTTTTTTTTTTTTTTCTCCTAAAAAAAAAAAAAGCACAAAAGCCACTGTTTGGGGCCAAGCCTGGTTTTCAAGAGTCCCCTCTAGTGGAGATAGCCTGCTACTTCGGCTGCCCAGTTCAAACCAGAGCTTCCCTCGCCAGTGAAGGCTCCGATAGAGTCCCCTTCTGCCGGCTCTGCTCTTTCCCACTTTCTCTCTGTGTCTTCTCTCAGCTTTTTCCACCCCCATTCACACTGTCAGCCTCTCTGTCTTTATCTTCCCTTCCGTCTCCCTGCTGCTCTCCATCTACCTGAGACTGCGTCTACATCCTGACTTCCGTCTTTGCAGGTGCACCTTCCCTCCTGCATCTGGATCTGCATCTTAGGTCCACCTGCTGGTTTTCTCTGAAGTTCAGGACACCAGGTCTGACTAGCTAGAAATGCTTTGGTAAGGCCTTGGATCAAATGGTAAAACCTCAGAGGGCCAAAACAAGGACCCGCAAGCCAGATCCAGTGAGGAGCACTAGGAATCAAGCTTTCCTGGAGGAGGATGGAGATTGGACAAAAACTCACTCCCCCACCCCATGCAAACTTTGGCCTAATGGGTTTATATACATTTTTGAAGCTGGTTTATACCTAAGCTCAGAGCTCCTGCTTTGGAGTCCTGTGTGAAACCAGCCTGCTTTCACTCCGCCTCCTCCCCAGTCTCTAACATCCACCCTGCCACACAAACAGCTGGCAAGGCCTGGGTGAAGGAACAGTGGGCAGGGGTGGAAAGAGGGTGCTCGTGTAGGGGAAAGGAAAGAAAGGGGTGACCTGGGGCCAGGGACTGAGCCTGGGCTGTACAGGGACGGGGAACAGAGTGAGCATTTTGCTGGGGTGAGAGGGGGCCGCAGGTGAGCACCTGCTCATCATCTGGGTTTCCCAAAGATATCCTTTCACCCAAGTGGGAGATGGGGCCAGGCAGGGCAGGGGTTAATGGTTAACTGACTGTGAGAGCGGGGACTTAGGCACAGTTCAGGCCCAAGCCTTTCCTTTCTGCTCTCCAGACTCCTTTCTTCCTCTCCCCTTACACTCTCACCGGCTAGGAACCCTGTTCCCCAACAAAGAACTTTCTTGCCTCTATTTCTGCCCTGAATTCCAGATGGAGCAGTGTAGAACTAGATAAAGAGGTTCCATATGTCCAAATGCTGGGCAAGGGGGCCCCAGATAGCCTGAGGGCTATAAGCTGAGGAGAAAAGGGGGTGTCCCCTTCTTCCCAGCCATCCCTCCTGGGCGCCTTGGGACCAGCTGTTTGACCCCAAGAAGAACTGCCTTTCTCTCTGTCTCCTCAGGGCTCACCTTTAGAAATGACCAGAAAAGAACTAGATGCACACCCACCCCTCATTTACTCTAATCAGGCATGAAATCTTTGTAACTAAGTGAGAAAACTGTTAAGGGAATAGGTTCCATTTATCATTGTTTGAACTGAGCATATGCTAAGGGGAGAAACAGAACGTTCACATATAATGAATTGATAACAGACTGCCCCTGGTGAGGGTGGTAGTGGTGGGGTGTGGGGTTGCACATGAGCTGTAAAACCTCAGCACCTCAAAGCCTGTTTCCACCAGTTTCCCTATGGGCAGTCCTGAATTACTGCTAGTTAACAGACTGTAACACAATGTTCCAGTCTCTTTATGATCAGAATGGGGGTGGGGGTGGGGGCCTGGGCTTGGCGCTCCCTGCCTTTCCATTTGCCATGATGGACAGAAGTATACTGTGCCCCAGTTTGTGTGTGCAGAGACAGCTGTGTGGCAATACAGGGAGACAGCTGGTGGGGGGGGGGCGTGCTGCTGGAGACAGGAATTACCTCCCCCATGCCAAATCCTGTATCTTGGTGAGACAATCACAGAAAACGAAGTAGGATAGAAACTATAAAAACCCCGAACAGTGACAACTCCAGCACCATAAATATTTCATAGTACCTGAACTGGCGAGTTTAGACTGCTGCCAGCTGCTGCCTTGTATATTTAACCATGTCACTGGTTTCCCCCTTGCTCCCGTGTTTTCTTGTAATATGTCCATGAAATAAAGATTAGCTGAATAATCAGGAGTATCTGTAAATGAGAAAGGGACCTAGTAGAGAAGTAGCTGTTCTTTGAGGGTTTTCTTTCTAACCTCATTTTAAGCACAGTCTCCAGTAAAACAGATGGTGAACTTTTACGTTCACTACATCTGCAGCTGTCGATGGTCACGGTCAAGAGAGTTGGAGGGTAAATGTCCCTTGATTCTCTGTAGGCAGGGGTAGCTACTCAAGTCATCTCTGAAAGGGGGGCCACCAGCCTTGTAATGACATGGTTTGGGTGATGGACATGTGGCACCACCATTTACTCTTCATTTAGACATGAACTGAAAGGCCGGCTGGCCCCCCTGCCCTGCTCTGGGCTGCAAGAAACCCTGGTCCTTATGACCTGTCACAGAGAATCCCAGTTGGGATTCCCTTGCCAGACTCATGGTCCCTGGGCAGTGGAGACCTTCCGGCACTTTACCACTTCAGATCCTGTGGCTCCTCGCTGCCTCTCCCCTGCACATGGCTCCAAATGCCATTTCCATTTAACTGCTTTGCAAGCCAATTTGCCCCCATCCTAATGCAATTTGCTGTGGACAGTGAGGGAACCAAAAGGGCAGTCTGCATTGCCCTCCCTTTATCAGCAGGTCCCTGAAGAGGATCGGCTGCGGGACAGAGGCTGCAGGACGATTCTTTGAAGTAATGCTAGCTGGGCAGCAGGAGCCCAAGTTCTACGTTGAGGAGGGGTCTATGGTGACAGGCAGTGATACCAGGTGGAAGAAGAGGAAAGAAAAACAACCTCTGTAAGGTATCCTGACAGATTCTGCTCCGTTTCCTCTGTTCCCAGCCCTCTTCCCCCCCCTCCCCCTCCCAGGTAATTAGTTCAAATGGTGCTTTTTGAGAACAGGGAAGTTAAGGAATTCTTCCCTCTTCTTGCCTGGAGGTCAGAGGTGGGAGGGCTGTGAGCAACTCCCGGAGCTTTCTGGGGTGATTGCACAAAAGTTGTGCATTTCAATTAGGAATAGCTGAATTCCTCCTGCCAGGGCTATCTCTTCCCGGGGCTCTGTCATTCAGCTGAAGGCCCCAGCATCCAAAGCCAGCCCAGAGGGAAGAGTGAAGTTTCAAGGTCTAGGAAAGAAGCCCAGCAAGACAGGAGCCTGCTATTGTGTGGGGAGGAAGAGAGGTGAACCTGACTCTCTCTCAATCCCAAAGCGTCCAGCCCTGCCGAGATACTCATCTTGGCCTGCCGCTTCTAATCCGTGTCCTCTGTGCTTGTGAAAGAAGGGGATGAATGCGCCCCCAGATTTCTGTGAGTTCCTACAAACTGATGGGCTCCCAAGCCACTGCCTCAGGCTATGACTGGCAGCCTCACTCCCTCAAACTGATCTTGTCTTTATGTCCCTTGCATACCCACTATTGGTGTGCCACTGTCACCCTAGCATCTCAGATTCCCACAGGAGACCTGATCGTATTTCCATTGCCCACCTCATGGGGCTCTCATTTCTAGACCCATTACTGACCTAGAACCCAAGTCTTTTACCCACTTCTCTCTCCCCAATTATCTCGATCCCTCCTGAACTGAGCTGTGTTTGAGCAGGTAGATCCTCCTAGGGCAAAAGTCATGCTAAACAGGTGGACAGTTTTTCGGGGACGTAGAATGGCAGTTTCTGGTGACTCTGGCCATTTAGAGGAGGATTATCACATACAGAGACTACCTGTGAGATGGATTATAAAAGGGCTAGAATTTTCTAGGACCCCTACATCACTTGTGGGGTGGGGCAAGAAGGAGCACATGAAGGGAAATATTCCCCAGCGGTTTCTCGAGAGCAAACTCCCACTTCAACCCCCAACACTCCCATACTGCTCAAATCAGGGCGTTGGGCCCCTGCTGGGCACTACACACGGCATCGGGAGGTCGCCCCGCTGCCCGCCCTGCGCCCCGCTCAGCCCGGACCCACCGGCCACCTTAAGTGGCCAAGGGGCAACGAGAATGCTGCCAGGGCCTGGGAACGCGGGTGCAGACCTTGCGAGCCCAGCTGGCTTATCCCGCGGCGGAGATGGGGGGAGCTCAGGACGCAGGCAGAGGGGGTGGGGGCAGTGGGGACAGAGCCCCCTTGTCCCTTAGCATCCCCCGTCACCGCACACATCCCGCACACTTCCTTCGTCTTTCAGGGACGGGCCGGTGGGGGAGGAACCGGGCTTGTTTGGTGGGGATGAGACCAGGGTCTCAAAATTTGTGGGAGCAGATTTCCTTTTCTCGTGAATTTCAAGAAGCCAACAAGCTGTGGAATGAGGTTTGAAGTTGCTGTTATTTATCATTTTTGTAAGGCGAAGATAAGCCTTGCTCTGAATCGCATCTCAAGCTTCCAGCTCTGTTAAGGATGCTGGGCTTCTGGCAAGTCCTGACTTGGATGGGGACCGTGGGGACGGGAGGAGAGCTTTCTATATTCAGACCCCAAAAGCCCGCCTGGCACGGGAATCAGAGCGGTGGCAGCAAGAGAACTTATTTTAATACCTAAGGTGAGCTGTTTCTGGATTCCGGATGACAATGCCTCCGGGCCCTCAAGGCCACTGATTCCGCTAGGTACGGTCTCAGCATCTCCCCAGTCTCGGGACGCGGCTCTCCGAAAGGGGCCTGCAGCTAGACCCCCGGTGAGTTGGCAGGATCTGCGTAGTCCCTGCTCGTGACTAGAGCACCGGCGAGTTTACTCAACACGTCCAAGTGTTCTCGTAGCTTCTTCTACTGCCCTCTCGTGGCCACAGTCCTCAGTGTTATCAACAGAAAAAACAGAAGTCATGCCTAAAACCCTAAAAGTGGTTGTCTGAAATTCTTAGGGCAGTAGGGGCGGAAGGAAGGAAGGGAATAAGGAAATACAGAAAGAAGGGAGGGAGGGGGAAGAGAGAGAGACGAAAAAAAGAAAAAGAAATTTACACTCTCCAGACATTTCAAACCATCCTCCGTTCAGTACAGGATTGGGGAAATCTAGGCTTTACTCCAGCATCTGCAGAAATTAGCTGATTCTTCAAAAGTTCTTTATTGTCATTAGCTGAAGTTTGTGTCTCTGTAACTTTCACTGGTTATTATTTTTTCTCCTGTGGAGCCACGAAGAATCTGTCAAGCTGTCTTCCCTGATTTATACATGTTCTTTTCTTCAAGCTTCTTTATCTACTGTTGATAACACTCTGGGCAATTATCATATTTACTCTGTATTATTATTAATTTCTCTTTATAGGTAGGTCTTGTCTCCCATCCAGACAGTCTAGTCTATTGTCTTATCTCTGGGGGTCTGACTCTAAACCACAATTTATTAAGAAAGGTGATTTGAAGAAGATGCTAAAAGATTTTGGAACATTTCCCCCATTTGCTCAATGCACGAAGCATTGGTCTGGCCACCTACAACAGTGGGACAGTAGGAAATATGTCATTGATAAGGCTTACAACTGAAAATTAGCGCCCTCTGGTTCTAAACCAAGTGCTGTGTGACTCCAGGAGTGTTCACATCTCTTCCCCATGCCTTCATTTAACCATATCTTGGAGAGATTATAATACAATCTAAATGATTTTCTGATACTACCCCACCCCCACCCCTGTGGTCCAGAAATAAATCTAGAAGATCAAAGAAGCATAAGATGAAACAGACTCTCCAACCCCCCCCTCCCCCCTTCACCAGCACGCTTATCCTCCCTTCCCAAATAAAAGAAGAAGAGAGAGGGAGGGAGAGAAAGAGCCAGACCCAGGCAGGAGAACACACTGCAGGCAGGGCGACGCACCACCACCCAGGTTCCACATTGCCTCTGAACACGGTCTGAGATCTGAGTCCTGTGAGATTATGGAAGTGGCTATGGTCAGCATAACAATGGGGAGAGCACTGAGCTGGAGTACCCTGGATAGAGTACACTTAACTTCTCCAGCTGTCAGTCTGTCCATCTATAAGATGGGAATTTCTGCCTTCAACCTCCAGACAGCTGAAGGAATTAAAATAGTTATATGTAGAAGCGTTTGAAGTATTAATAGTACCATTAAGATAAAAAGATTGTTGTTATTTTTAGTCCTCATAGGCTAGAACAAATATGGATCTTATTAGTTAAGCATGTAATTATAATAATATACTCTGTAACTAAAAAAATAATTGGGTTTATGGTTTGTATTTAGATGTAATATCCTCTCAGGCAATGGCAGTACACATGAGCCTCTAGTCTCTAAAGGTGCTCAAATAACCTTATCCCTTTAATCATTGGGTATTTATTCATTTGTTACATCAGTATTTATTAAGAGTAAATTTACTAGATGTCTTCCTTAATGGGACAGTACATAATATTCTCTTTAGAGATATTTTTCTTTTTTAAAAAAGATGACCAGTAAGGGGATCTTAGTCCTTGACTTGGTGTTGTCAGCACCACGCTCACCCAATGAGCTAACCGGCCATCCCTATATGGGATCCGAACCCATGGCCTTGGTGTTATCAGCACCACACTCTCCCGAGTGAGCCACGGGCTGGCCCTAGAGATATTTTTTCAAAAAAGCATGCCAATAATCCAGCAGACTCCATATCCCTAGATCCGTCTACGTCTTGTGAGGGCTCCAGTTTTTTTGCATCTATCCAGTCTTCACTGTATTCTTCATCATGTGCAGCTGATGTCAAACCCATAGCTCCTGGGGACTGACCAATCCTCTGCCAATGCTTTGCAGTTCATCCTCATTTCCATTAAGAGGGACAGCCACAACCCAGCAAGGTTATAGGCAAGTAGTAGGCATTTAATAAATATTTATTAAATGAGTGAATGAATGCATGAATAGGGAAACGCTTGTCTTATGCCAAATTCTCAACTTTGGAAAGTCATAGCAAGATCAGCAACGTTCTCCCCCTGCCTTAACCTCCCCTGGTCATGGTACTCTTGGAACCTCGCCCTTGGAAAGTCACTTGTGGATACTGCATTGTTACTCCAGGCCTCTTTGCTTGTCACTAGGTGGGTGTCTTAGGGAAGAGGATAAGAGAGTAGGAGAGAACAGGCAACAGCATTCTAGAATGGGGTTGAATTTTTCCTGTGTGAAATGGGTCTTTCTCCTGCAGAAGACATATCTGGCTGAGCATGCCAGCCTGCATTTCCCAGGCCAGGAGCCGTGCCCCCCTGTTTCCCTCCTCAGGCCCCGGAAAGCGAGTCCTTAGGCTTTGGGGAGCTTAGGCCAAGGAAAGTCCTCTCTGTCACAGCAGCAGCTTCAGCCCCATGAATAGATGCCAGTATGGTAGCCCTTTGGATCACAGGAGGTATTTTTGGTGCTGGAAGCCAGCCACACTTTGGCAGGCTTTCAGCATTAAGTCTGCTCCCTTCAGAGGTGGGGGGTGGCAAACATGGGAACGCTGCCTGCGAGTGTGTTCATGCATATATTTAGGCTGCCTGGAGTGGGGTGGGGGCTGGGCTTTGGAGGATGTGCGCCTGGGCCTGGTGAGTGGATTCCTGCCTGCCAGTGTCAGTGGCCAATCTTTGGGTGATGTGTCAGTCGTTGCCAGGTTTGCATCTGGCTCCCAAAGCTGAGATGACTGAGGCCACTACCCACTTGATCTATCTCTACTCTAAGATGCATGTCATCTTTCACTCACCCCGATCCTAGGATTGCTACATTTGAGGCAGGCGCATGTTCCCCTTGCGGGTGGCTCTTCTGTCTCCGCATGCCTGCCGCACCTCACCTTCACCCAGCAGACGCTGTCAGGCACCACAGTAGCAGAAGCAGCAGCTGATCCTAGGATTGCTACATTCGAGGCAGGCGCATGTTCCCCTTGCGGGTGGCTCTTCTGTCTCCGTATGTCTGCCGCACCTCACCTTCACCCAGCAGACGCTGTCAGGCACCACAGTAGCAGAAGCAGCAGCCTCCTCCGCCCCCACATTGTTGGGAACAAAGGGATTGGTCTGGCAGGCCAGACTGGAGTGTGTGGGCCAAGTCCCATGAATGGAAGAGAGGGGCTGCCGGGATGCCAGGGTGGCGGGCCTCAGTCGGGGCAACGGGGCTGGGGGCCCAGGAGACAGGAGCAGGGCACCTGCTCCGGGATTCTCAGCACCATTCATAAAGACGTCACCCTCCTCTCCGCTCCCCTCTCCTCCCTTCACAAATCCCACTTTCCTGTGTACTTTAAACAGTAGCAAGCCTGTTAAGGCTCCAAATCAAACAAGGCAGGATTTCACTCTTTTCTCACTAAACCTCCCACGAGCGGAGCTTACGTCCCTGTATACCTCGTCCTCTTTCCCTAACCCTCCCTCCCTGCTTCCATTCAGCTAGTGTGTTGCTCTGAGAGGCTAATATTCTCTGTGAAGCCCAGGCAACTGTGGCCCCAAACCTACTTCAACAGGGCCCTGGAGTAGGCTGCAAGTCTTCTGTAAGATGAGAAAGCTGCAGGGGAATGGTGGGGGCAATGGACTACTGGGCTCCGGCACGGAAGGTGACATCTGGGAGAAAGCTGAAGGAAGCTCAGGACTTTGCCTTTGTTCTGTGCCTAGGACTGAGGGTCTGAAAAAGGGCCTACCTCTCTTATGTTTTTCTGAAAGGATCCCCCCAAAAGGAGACACTACCCATTTGGTCATGTAATTCCAGGGTAGTTTCTTGGTGCCTCATCCATAAAGTGGAAATAATATCCCTTGCCTTGCCTATCTGATAAGAATTCACAAGACCCAAACAAAATACTGACTGCAAAATATGGAAAGCATTATACAGATGCATGGTGATGTCTTAAAATCTGGAAGTTCTGTCCAGAGGCAAACCTGCTTCCCAGCTATGGCAGCTGCAGTTCATTTTCTTGTTTGATTTTCCCAGGAGAACAGCTATGCTCCCCAGAAATACGCCTTTGCTTTTGGGGTGACTGCATCATCCTCCATCCCCTTAGGGTCCCTCCTCTCCCTCTTCTCCACTGGAAAATGCTACAGAGCAGAAGAGATTCTGTGTAGCTCCCTCTTATATGGGATCACAAAGCACATCCATGCAGGAGCTGGCCCTCACTGCAGGGTAGTCCACACACCCACCCACACCTTCCCAGGCAGGAAGGTAAGAATGGGGTGGCCTGGGAATCAGGATGGCACTGACCTTCATTGGCTGAGATGTATTATGAAGGTTCACTTTTGGGGTCCTTCCCAGCCAGGAAGCCCCTGCCTGTGCGAGTTGCTGACCTCCCTGGCTCCAATGGCCAGCCTGGTTCAGACGGTGATTGCTCTCAGAACCTCAGTTGGAGCTGAGCTGCTGGGCTTCTGGAGGGCTCTGTGTCCCATGGGCAGGCCGGCCCAGGGCCTCCCCTGGGGTAGAGGTGAGTACGAGTGGACAAAACCAGTCCCCTTTACTATTCCTTTGAGATCAGAAACTCTCAGGACCAAGGTGAAATGATCATTTTGTCCAGACTTCTTCAGTTAAAACTATACCTTCCCTTTAGTTGCTGATAATTATCATAATATAATGGTCATGATAAAAATGTATGGATGCCCACCTGGTGCTAATCCTAATCTTCCCAACTCCAATCTTACAAGGTGAGTATTATCACCCCATTTTACAGAGGCAGAAACTGATGATCAGAACGTCCAGTGATGGTTCCAAGGTCATGTCGGG